TGGAGTCGCCGTTGCGTGCGACATCGAAGATGGAAGACTTAGGAAGGGGCTAACACTTTCAGGCTTCTGTTGGAGAGCTCACCAAGTTGACAGGCGGCAAACTGGACTATCTCATTGCCAACGCCGCGTTCATCTCAGATTGGTCATCCGTGTTCTCGCTTGGCAAGCTGTAAGTATCGTTCCCCGCCTGTGCGCTTTTCGAAGTGCCTGTGCATCATGACCAGGAACGGAATGGCTGATGTCTGTTAGTGGCGAGAGCCCCAAGGAGCTGGAGGACGACCTCATTTACAGCTTCAAGGTGAATGCTGTGGGACCTGTTCATCTTTTCAACCTCTATCTGCCGCTGATCTTGAAGGGAGATGCCAAGAAGGTCATTGCAATTACTTCGGGCATGGCTGATCTGGACTTGATCAACGACTATCGGATTGATGTGTCTGGTCCTTACTCCATCAGCAAAGGTGCTTTAAACGTGGCGGTTTCCAAGTTCCACGCGCAGTATGCTGAGCAGGGTGTTTTGTTTATGGGAATATGCCCTGGCACAGTCGAGACAGGTCATTTTGACGACTGTAAGTCATGGTATCAATACGTTTCAGCAAGTACTAACGGTCGGTTAGTGAGCGAAGAGGCACAGGATGGCGCCAAGAAAATGGCAGAAAAGCTCAACAAGTACGCACCCGGCACGCAACCCAAGACTCCGGATGCAGCCGTCGTGAAGATCTTGGAAGTGGTGTACGGATCGAGCCTTGAGAATGGGCGTGGTGGAGCCTATATTTCTCACCTGGGTACCAAGAGATGGCTCTGAAGGACTGTAAAGCTCCTTCGACGCTCTGATCTCCACGGATAGGTCGGCCACTAGGGAGACCCAATTCAGCGTCTTGTGAACCTCATCGGTGATGTCGTTTCTGCTGCCTCTTGTCTCCGCCTGTACTCCGGGATAAGTATTATGGTGGACAAGGTTTTTCTAGCCATAAATATGAAGTGGCCATGTCATTCATCAGATTTCCTTCTACATAACAACGTCAGACCTTACTCTGGAGTCAAAATGACGGGCACATGGTGGCACCAACTGGTGAGCACTTCGGTATATTCGGGCTACTTGTTTGAACCATAAGGAGCGATGTCGTGCGACGAAGCCTTGGTTTACGAGGAATTCCATATTTATGGAGAATCACCTGTGAAATCAGACCGACCTCAGCTAGTCAATGTCTTGTGGCGTGTCACTTGGTGCCGATCCGAAGGTATTCTTTGAGGGAAGGTATGAATGCTAATTCTTATGAATAATCGCCGCCACATGGCTTGATCAGCCAGAAAACAAGCCGCAGGGAGTTGTCAAACCGAGTTAGAGTTGGCGCCGTACTGGTGGTGCCTCAAAGGGACTGTCCACAAATGCGGGCCAAAAGTGGGTAGAAAGACGTAACAGCAACTGCTGATTTTTCGCCCGCAAGCCGAATTTCGACGGAGATTCCATATTGAGTCAAGCTTTTTCAATGTGAATGGTGTCAGAAAAACTCGTCGGCATGGTATCTGTGTCACATCGGGTCAGCAAGGGCGGAACGGACCGCAGGTGAGTCAGTCTCTGGGAGACGGGGCACACCATGATTTTCTTAAAACATTCTGCTGCGCACAAATGCCGAAGAACATCTTGAACACGAATCCGGGGCCCCTCAATTTGCACCTTGCTTGCATGCCGAAGCTCCACCACCTCGTACGATACTACTCAAATCTTGATTGAGCTCGCAACTATTGTTGAATTCGAAGTCATCATGAGCAAGGACAAAGAGGTGATGAGAGCCCCAGCCGACCCCGTAGACCAGGGCGAGCTTGGCTCTCTTCAAAGTCCCAAAAGTCCCAACAACGACGCATCCCCACCACCGTTTCCCGAGCACGCCGGAGCGCTCGTGGAGAAAGACGAAGGCGAACTCATCGACTTCAAGACCCTACACTGGTTGTGAGTTGACGTCTACTATCCTTTGTACACAACGCATTGGCATCCTAACATCAGCACAGACAAGGAGGCATTGTACTGGTCGCCGAGACGGTGTCCTTAGGCATCCTCTCGCTTCCATCTGTACTCGCTACTGTTGGGCTCGTCCCTGGTATCATCCTGATCTGCACGGTCAGCGCACTGGCAACCTACTCCGGCTTGCTCCTAGCCGAGTTCCGGAAGCAGTATCCCTTTGTGCAAAACTTTGGCGATGCTGTCGAACTTATTGGAAAACCCATCGGGATGGGCTCCGTCTTTCGCGAGGTGTTCGGGTGGGCTCAGACTATCCTGCAAATCTTCCTCATTGGAGGCCACATCCTCATGTGGACGATATGCATGAACACCCTCACCAACGGCACCACCTGCACTGTCGTTTGGGCAGCGGTCGGTATGCTCGTCTTCTGGGTATTCAATGTGCCAAGGACGTTGAAATGGACGAGCTGGATGTCAGCTGCTTGTAAGTTACGCCCTCAGTAGGCGCTCCTACTTTCGATACCGTGGCTCACTCGTTTGCCCTGAAGCTTGCATATCCATCATCGTAGCTGTATTCATCACAGTCATTGCAGTTGCCATTGAGAAGCCGATCGGCAATGAGGCCATTGACGTCTTCAAGTCTCTCGGTTTCTCACCAGCATTCCTTGCAGTTACCAATATCGCAGGCGCATTCTGTAAGCCATCTTGACACACCACCAGCAGCGCAGCTTCGACTTTGGACTAATGAGCTCCCTACCAGCGAGTCACTCCATCTTCTTCAGCGTCATTGCCGAGTTCAAGAATCCTGATGACTGGGCCCAAGGCACTGGCGTTCCTTCAGATCACAGATACGACGCTCTACATCATCGCAGCCGTTGTTATTTACGTCTATGTCGGGCCAGACGTTCCATCTCCAGCACTGTCGGCTGCAGGCAGTGCTACAGTTCGTAAGGCTATCTGGGGCGTCGCGATCCCCACCATCGCAATTGCCGCTGTCATTTACGCCCACGTCGCATCGCAGTACATCTTCACGCGCATCTTTGGGAACACGAAGCATGTTGTACGCAGAACACGCCTATCCACGATATGGTGGCTGCTTATCACCTTGAGTGTCTGGGGCCTCGGCATGGTCATTGCCGAGTCGATCCCGATCTTCAATAACCTGTTGGGACTTGTGTCTGCTGCCTTTGCCAGTTGGTTCTCGTTTGGCCTGCCGGGTATCTTTTGGCTCTGGATGCACTATGGCAATTGGTTCACAAACTGGAAACAACGCTGTCGCTTCGCCGCGACGTCTCTTCTGCTAGTAGTAGGCATCGTTCTGTGCGTCCTCGGACTTTGGGTTTCGATTGAGTCCATCGCCAATGGTGGCGCTGGCTCTCAGCCTTGGACGTGCGAAAGCAACGCTGTATAAAAAGGTCAAATTGGAACAACTTGCGCCGCCAACGGCTGTTTGGACATCAAATGGCACGACACCACGTAGATTCGCCGGCGAATGTGAATCGATCATATCATTTCACACAGCATGTCTCGATTTTAGATGACGGGCAGTCAAAGGAGGCTCGATAACAACAGATGATTGACACATGAACATGGGTCTTGATGGTGGTCTATGGATTTGGCCCAGGAATGCGATACTTACCCCGGTTCGCCGTGATGTATTCCCCGTTCATTTCGGACGAGCATAACTAGCGCTGTGGGCTTCGGATTCGGATTGAAAAGGTTCAACTACCGCCGACCCATGTCCAAACAGTGGCGAAGCGCTTGCCCCAGCTCGGGCGCAAAGCCGTGGCTTGATACGCTGGCTGCAATTCTTCTGATAGCGTGGCCGGGGAGCGTTTCACGAAACTGAGTAACCCCTGTTAGCTGATGATGACCCTTGTGGGAGGATCGACAATCTACGCGCGACGACGGTGGAAATCATGGGAAATTCAATTTATGGAGAGCCACGCGTTGCGAGAGCCACTCGGCCGACGACCCTTCAAAAAGGAGCCTCAATCCAACGGCAGAGGCTATTAAATTCGGCATCACGTCTGAGCTCTCATTTTCAGGCTTGGGTCAGTCACTCATTTTTCTGTCACTCGTTCATCACAGTCCTTCTCTTCATATATTCATTATGCAGTCACTCGCCCTTTTCTTGGCCGGCGCTGGCGTCGCCCATGCGTACACCATTGCCGTCGCCGACCGGTTCATGTACAAGAACATTGATCCCATTGTCGTGCCTGGGCAGTACACCAGCCATATGCACAGCTTTTTCGGGTCGGATGCCGTGACAGTCAATACGACTACCTCGAAGGAACTGCAGGCTGGTTGTTCGACGGCCGAGAACCCCAACGACTTTTCATCCTACTGTGAGGGCTCCAGTATCATCTCCACTAGATCGTGTGACTGACTTTCAAGGGGTTCCTACTCTTTTCGTCCGTAACGAGTCCGGCGCTACACCTGTACCCTTTTCCCGCTTCAGCGCGTACTATGTGTCCATCGAGAAAGCCGAAGTCGCCATTCCTCAGGACTACAAGGCGGTGGCTGGCAAGTCCTCCGCCACAAAGCAGGCAGACATTGAACCCCTGGCGGGCATTGAATGGTTTTGCGAAAATGGCCCTGCAAAGGCAGATGGCGCCGACAAGGCCGCCTTCCCCACCAAGACCTGCAGTACCCATCTCCAGACCCTGCTCCTTTTCCACGACTGCGTCAATGAGAAGACGCTCGAGTCCACCTACTCGGGAACCCACAACTGGGTGTCCTGGGGTGTTCCCGCGAACCGCTGCCCCGTCGGTATGAAGCGTATGCCTCAGCTCCGGTTCAGCATCCGCTATGATCTGCGTCGCCTCCTGCCGAACGGCTGGACCGGCGCGCCACCTCTGGAGCTGGCGTGCGGCTCGTCATACTGCACACACGGTGACTTCATCAACGGATGGCTGCCTGAGGCGGCCGAGAACATGCTCAAGTCCAACAGCAAGCGCGATTTCAAGGGCGTCGATGGGCCGAACGGCAAGTACAACGCCGGTTCCGTGTGCGGCGCAAAGAACGCCAAGGATGCGGACCCGAAGAACGGCACGAGCGATTACGAAAAGAGCCGCAAAATCCTTGGGTTGCGCAGCGTGACACAGGCTGTGAGGAACTTGGCTCGTCGCCGCAAGACTCGTCGTGGTGTTGCTGGATATTAAACTTTGGGTGCTCCGTACCTCATCTGCCTCAATGCGGCACAGAGCATGATAAACCACTTGAGATCTGCTTCAGTTCCGATAGTTTCCGCCCTTATTCCTGTAAATTTATTGACTCGATCAACTTGACTCCTAAAACAGCCAGGCATTCCTTGAGACTTCCTTCACCAGCCGAACCTTTCTATGTTTTTGCGTTGCACCCAGTGTCCTGCCACCGACATCACCCGTGCGCTTTTCGTCATAACATTTTCATCCAATAGCAGGCGACGTTGCGGGCGTCATCACAAACATTTGCTGGCCCCAGAGGCTTGTCCTCGGTCCCGATGTCTCAATGCTTAATCGCCCAGCCCTTTTTGAAAGCTAGCGACGCCCATCCGCCGGCACTTCAGGATGGTTTTCGCCACCGTTGACCAATCTCTTCAGCACTAGCTCCGGTACTTGGAGAATGTGCCTGTCTAATCCGACTACTGCTGGCTCTTGTCCGAATTGTAGATTCGCATCAACGAGACGTTCAACGCATCATTGATTCCTGCTCACGTTGTCAGCCAAGCCTGTGGTGTGGTCACAGCTAACCTCCACTCCATTCCACAGATCGTCGGGAAACTGACCCAAAGCATGCTGTGCAACTTGTCGCGGGAGACGACCCTGCAACAAGTTTCTGACTATGTCGCGATTTGAGCGCGTGGTATATGGGGCCAAGACTCACAATCATGCGACCAGGACGCATGGAATTCATTGAATTCAGGCCTCTAAGGCATTCCGATGCAAGGCGTCGCTCTTATCCCGAAGATAAAGTGCGACAGAAAGAGGGGCTGGTTACATTCTCTCCCCTGAGAATCGCGAGTGAGATCGCGCAATGGATGTCTTACTTCGGACTTGGCAGCAACGCCAACGTGAGAAGCCGTTCGGATCCGAGACATTGAGGTGTGGCGGGGATATGGTCGCGATGGCATTGCTGATTCCGGAGCGATAGCCATGGGACTTTTCGGATGATAACCCGGTCACGAATAGAAATGGCCCTTCCAATATGGGCACGTGCGGATGTCCAGATTTTGTATATATGTGCTTGCTCGTGGTTGACTGGCAACATCCTGTCGATCAACACAAAGACGCTGATCACACATTTGTTGCAGAACATAATGCACACTTCAAAACTTACTCTGGCATTTGCTTCGGCAGTCCTTGCGGCACGCCCATTTCTCAACGAAGCAGATAATGGCTTGTCGGATGCGGTCGGAAATCTGTCTCCGGGTATACTTCCGGACCTCTCCTCCATGGCTGGCCTGTCAGACTTTGACTTTGCCGCACGCAACTACTTGCCTTCACGAAACTACACTTATTACCGTAACGCTGCAGGGGGTGAATGGTCATATCGAAACAATTTGGAGGTTTTCCAGCGGTACACCTTCAAACCAAGAGTAATGCGAGATGTGTCTCGCCTGCCAGAGTCCCTTGCGTTCGTAACTTCATTCAGCTGTGATGAGCCCTTCAGTGACTGATCTCCACAGGACAACCATATTGGGACACAATTTCTCAGCACCGTTCTTCATTGCTCCATGCGCTAGAGGAGCTTTCGGTCATCCGGATGCCGAGCTCAACCTCGTCCGTGGAGCTGCAGATGAAGACATACTATATATCGTGGGTCGGACTACGCCGAATTGCTCTCTCTTCTGCTCACAATCAAATACAGCCATCATTGCAGGCAACGATGTCTATGGAGGATATTGCGGCCTCTAAAGATGATGGGCAAGTACTCTTCCAACAGGTATGATTTTCGAATTCGTTCCTATTTTGCCAGTACATTAACCAGCTACCAGCTTTACCTGCCCCCGGGCGAAGACAACACGAAGAAGCTACTCCGGAGAACAGAAGCGACAGGCGCCAAGGCCATCGTGTTCACCGTCGATGCACCTGCAAATGGAGACCGTCAACGAGCCTACCGCCAACGGGGACGTACACCGTGAGTCTACTTCATCTCATTCAAAGTCATCATGCTAATCTTGGCTGGAAGTGAACCTGAGTTTCAAGCGATAACAGTACGACTAGAATTCATCTCTTCTCAATGGCATAGACGTAGCTAACATTACCAGTGGGAATACTACCGCAAAATCAGAAACATGACTTCGCTGCCCATTGTCCTGAAGGGGATTATGACTGTGGAAGATGCTCAGGCAGCAGTCAGCAACGGTGTTCGTGCAATTATTCTGTCTAATCATGGTGGAAGACAGCTCGATGGCAGCCCTTCGTCGCTAGAGGTTGCACTCGACATTCACAAAGTGGCACCCGAGATCTTTAAACAAATCGAAGTATATGCCGATGGCGGGGTGCGCTACGGCACTGATGTGCTGAAGCTACTGGCACTCGGCGTCCGAGCTGTTGGCGTTGGGAGGCCATTCATGTACGCCAACTCCTATGGGTATGATGGTGTATTACAAGCCATCCAGATGTTGAAGCGTCAGATTTCGGTTGACGCGGCGAATCTGGGAGTGACAGACCTGAAAAAGCTTGACGCCAGCTTTGTGAGTTACTCACGTTTGAGTGTGACGATGTCATAAGCGCTTACAAAGATACGCAGGTCAACTGGACGCCAAATCATTGGATGGGTTAAGATACTTGTAGAGATGTTTTCCTCCTATTCTGCGATACCCTGTGTTAAAGTATGTTGGCTAAGCCTCTCCGCACCGAAGGCGATGTACACGAGCTGGGCCATTAGAATCCTTTCAATGAAAAGAGAAAATTGTTGTATACCACAGGCACATGAGCTTCCTCAAGGGAGACTTTTACAGAACAATGGAATGAGAGCGTGGGCGGTGTAGCTCCCTGAATGCATGCGCGATTACTCCGGTGTGTTGTCGGTACAGTATAGTTCGGTGACACTGCATCGTAAGAAGTCGAATGATGGTCTTTCCAACATGAACAATGCGTAACTTTCTTCAATTTCAAACCAATTGCAGCGAAACCAAGCACCCAGGCAAGCATTTTTGGCATCTTCAACGGAAGTTTTCGAGACACGGACAGCTGTCTTTGAACGGCCTGATTGCAAAGTTACCTGTTGAACCAATATTAGGGAATTCCCTAGGGCGGTGATCCCGATGGGATCACCGATATAGTGATCACCGTGGCCACGGATTCACAGCTTACGTGATCGGTGAATCAAATGGGTATATCTAACTCACGAGGGTAGAGATAATCCATAGAGAGAGTATCAATTACATCACAAGACTTATATCACCTACACTACGTATTCCGAGCTCTCAGGCACAGCCAAAGCAATGAATCAGGGTTCACATAAGCAGTGAAGCCCTCTCAACATTACCAAAGATCAACAAGCGATCCAGGAAACCGTTTTGTATTCCACGAATTCCTGAAGACCTATTTATTTAATATTGACAGCCTACTTCAGAAAGAACCGGAGACTGCCTCGGGTGTCTTTCCAGGCGTATATGGCGGCAAGCTCGGGTTCAAGACACCCTCTGGATCGTCCCCACCAGCTGGGCATGTGTTGAAGAAGACCCAGCCCTAAAATATTGTGTTGTCAGTTTATAAAGCAATCTCTCAATTACCGTACAGCATTAAAGTTTACTCACATGAGCTGTGTTTGGATTAATTTCAACCATATCAGCGCGTCTCTGCCCCGAAAGGCTTGGAAATTGGAGGTTAGGGCCCCGGCTTGTTCCCTTGAATGCGCTGGCAGGCCTTCCCCATTTCCATGGGCTCCCTGCATTCAATTCTCCTGGAGCTGCCTTTCCTTCGTTGTAAAACACACTCGTGTTACCAGTGAACCTGTCAGAGTGAATGATATCCGACAGCCCGTCACCGTTGACATCGGCGAAGCGAAATTCGGCTCGCTCTAGGTTCTTGGTGTAATTAATCTGTCCGATATCTGTAGTTCCGGTAGCAAGATTGAGCATAGCATGCATGAGGCCGTTGTGTTGAATACAAATGTAGTCCGCTCTACCGTCGCCACTGTTCGGGGATTGTTAGTACTTTCCATGAAAGGGAAGAGAGAAGATGGAGCTATGAACGCTATCGTACTTAATATCCGCAAAATGGTGAGAAGTATCGTAGTATAGGACTCCCCAACCAAGCTTGCAAAACTCTTTGGTGTCTGGGTACTTTTTGGCCTCCTGGAAGCTGACTTTTCCGGGCTCCGACATGCTAAGCCAGACTGTAAGCTCTCCAGAGACACGGTCGACTGCGATAATGTCGGCTTTTCCATCACCGTTCCAGTCAGCTATGTGCAGAGCACGCCGCGTTATTCCTGTCCTGACCAGTGTAGTGCTATCCCATGCGACACTCTTATACCAGTCAAAACTGTTGGCCCGAGCCTTGTTTGGGAAGATAGTGACCTCGCCGAAGGCCGATATCCAGATGTAGTCGTCGAAGCCGGTTCCCGTCACGTCACCCCACCGAGCTCCGTCGCCTGCACAAACGTGAGTTGGAATTCTTTTGGTGCAACGGACTTGAGGCTTTTTAACGCACCTTTTTGCCATCGGCCACCATTTCCACCGTTGGTATTTTCCCAAATAGAGACTGTGCCGTCACAGATCCCAGTAGAATCGCAGTTCGTTCGCCTGAGCACCCCATACTACGTTGGTTTTGTCAAGACATTGTTTCCAAAATAACATTGGGGAGCTGGTTCACTAACGTCTCTAAATCCATCTCGCTTGTTGAAAACACGCCCGAATTTGGCTCTCTCGCTAAAATGTTGGGTTGCCGTCAGTTTGTCCATCCATCTGCACGCTTTGCGCTGGTCATCCAGAGATGACAGATCATAACTTACCGAGCGTCGCCAATACCCTCGCCAATATCAGGATGGGTGACTCCTGCATCCTGCCAGTACGGAATCATGCCCTGTTTCTCACCACGCTTGTTTATCCACGTTGTCGTTTGACCCTGCGTGGTGAGCCAGAGCCAATCGCCTCTGCCATCGCCGTTTAGGTCAACGAAGCGCATACCGCGGATGTCTCCCATGTCTTTCGCGCTGAATACAGGGCCTCCAGAACCGAGATCCTGCCAGTAAGCAGCTTCATTGCCGAGGCCCCCGTTTCGATAGCAATGAATATTGCCGCCGTCGCGGATGACGCAGTAGTCAAGCCTACCATCCCCGTCGATATCGCCGAGACGAACGCGATCTTGTGCATAGCCAACAATGGGATCTCGCCACTTGAAGACCACCCCAAACGACGGCACAGTTTGTTGGCGGGTAGAGTTGTTGATTGCCACAAAGGGGGTGCCATCTGATGCAATACAAATGTAGTCATCCAATCCATCTCCGTTCTGCTCGCATTGTCAGTCGTCGATGAAGAATGTTCTACACCTTTGGGAACATGAATCACATACCACATCGCCAAAATGGATGCCTACCGTAGCAAGTGATCAGCCGGTTTCTCATGACCACTTTTCAAGACAAAAGCTTACCTCTGTTGACACAATGGTGGCCAACACTGGTCCTGACTCCAGCGTCAAACTTGCCATCTCCTCGGTTTATATGTATATCGATCTTGTCAGTGTCGTGGTTGATGAGAACAAGCTCGTCCAGAACTTGTTCCCTCAGGAGACCAGAGTCGATCAAATGTGCCCAGTACATCTCGGTTTCATTCGAAACCTTGTTCTTCCAGACCACGCCACGCTCTTGGGAGGTTTGCTTGTACACTCCATCGTCCCGGATGGTGGAGTCGCCAGCAAATAGGAGCTTCACCTCTGACCCGTGAGGGTGGTTCAACTCGCTGCCAGGCTCTTTCTTGCACATGGTCTTTCCTTCATCGTCTGTGAATCCTGCGGCTTTCGGCGCGTTTAGCCAATTTAGTCCATTGACTTGGTCGATGGCCCAGACCCAGACGGCAGCCATCTTACGGAAGCCTCCACGATTCGGATGGAGAGGATCGTGGAAATCTTGTGGGAACTTGAGAAAGTCATCTTGCATCTCGGCAAGAAAGACTTTAGCAATTGGCTTTTCTAGGTCGCCGCCTTGGTAGCTCTTGACGAGGCGGCGGTACTGGTCGTTGATCTGTACAACTCTGGATTGAAAGTCTCTGTGGTGGAGAAGCGTGGAGAGGATGACAGTAGCATCAGGAGTGATGGAGAAGATGGTGTCGATCATGGCCTTCATGCGCTCTCCCGCACCGGCAACCATATCTTGAGAGGCATCATTCGTGCCCGCATTGATAAGGTAAAGGTTTGGCTGCCAAATGGGAGCAGTCGTGCGGAGTCTGGTATGGATTTGGTCGATCCGCTCACCAGGAATAGCTTCAACATTCTGGCGTATGTTAGCCAAATATCTCGGGAAAGGACTAGGTCGGGTTTCTTCGATGGAGCAATTCAGCGGCATACGTTGTCGGCCATGGTACCTCCAGAGAGACTTCCGACCATGTTTACTTTCCATCCATCCCAACGCAGTTTGTCGCGTACAGCCTTCCGGAACCCATTCTTGTCTGTGTCGCCGGGCTCAGCCGGGTCGCCTCGCACGATGGAGGCTCCTACAGGCATGATTCGAAGGAAGAAGTCTCGAGCCTCGGCACGGCCTGCAAGAATGCCATCGCTCCTTGAGGGCAGTTGTGGGTGATGCCGGAGATCCTCATCTAAAGTGTCGATATCGTGAGGAAAAACAGTGGCTGCTTGTGTGAGGTTGACGATAAAAACCCCCAGCTTCAAGGCGCTGATGCCAATATTGGCGGGCTTCATGGCATCAAAGGCGTTCCCCACGTTGATCTGGGTAACGGTCCAGGCAATTTTCTATTCCTACACGGCGAGACACGACTAGGGCCGCAGTCTTCATATCATATGGAGGACACCGCAGCATATTAGCCCGATACGTTTTCAGTGTCGTTCCGGGGTTGGCGGTGGTATCCGCTTAAGCGGATCTGCAAGATTTGCCAAGTCATGCGGGTAACACGCTGACATCCTTCAGAAGCCCATTCAGGGGTGTCGGCCTTAATATGGCAGGATAGCACTAGCCGACGGAGGTTGTCGAAATGTTTTCGGCCGGATCATTGGGCTTGTGGCGTGGGATCAAGCTCCATTTCGCAGTGAAGGCCCAAATAAGACTCTTAGCCCGGCGTTCAGTGGTCGAGGGCAGCTCTGCCGGGAAGGGGGTCTTAGAGGCTCGGTCCAGGCATGGATCGGCCGTCGATCAGCTAATGTACTCGGTTTACATCCTGCCGTAAAAGCAAAGTAAAGGCTTCTGGGACACGTCTACTCGAATGCCTGGTTTCTTCGTTGCCGCGGCTTTCCTGCTGTCGGGCCCTCGACGTGAATGGCAAGGGGAAAGCCCAATGTCTTTGCCGTTACCTCGGCTTTCGTGACACTTGTAAGCTCCAAAGAACCAGAGGTCTCTCGTTCCATCTTGGTGCTAAATAGTACCATCGGAACCCCTGCTGAAGGATTGGGCTCATTCCCGAGTAGCGGCAAAAGACTGGCGGCACAGGATCGGTTGCTGCCACGAGGGGTCAACTTTTGGGTTCTATAAATACATCGCGAGGGTTAGTAAGATCTTCTCCAGCTTCTACATCTGGCTCGGTGCCCACGGCCGTGAAGCGGTCACACCTTTGCACGGTCACTTTCTAGACCGCCAAATTTCCATCCCCTTGCCCGGCCCGGCCCAGCCAGTTCTTTTGCCCCACACCGTTTGCCCCCTGAAATTGTCGAGGAGCGTGGCTGTGGAGGGGTCAGATGTGGCTGACTCTCGTTATCGATGATGTAATCAATGGCAAAACCTCGGCGGCGTCCGATTGTGCGGGCCTTCCCCCGCCATGCCCCCGGGATCGGCGGCGTGCCACAGCATAATGCACAAATGCTTGTGCGCGCCCAATGCCCAAAACCGTCACGTCAGTCAAAATTTTGTGTACACCGACAGTGGGGAGCCCCTGCCGTCTGCTGTGAGTCAACCATTCACGCTGGATCCAATTCAGTTCAACAACCTCCGGGAAACACCATCAACGTCAAGAATCAGAACATCGTGATCATGGCGTCAGGCACTCCGAACAACGTGCTGCCGGACCCGACGGCTGACCTGCACTGGGGCGCCTTTCGTGGAGGTGAGCTTGACAGGAACACCCCCGTTGATCGGAGATCGTGGAGCGCTAATACCCCTCCATAGCCATCCACCAGATCTTTGCCGCCAATGCTCAGGATCACCCTGACCGCCCCTGTGTCGTTGAGACCAAGGGACCAAGGAATCCGGAACGCGTCTTCACGTACAAGCAAATCAATGAGGCATCCAACCAATTGGCGCATTACTTCATCGCCAATGGCTGCGAGCGGGGTGATGTAGCTATGATCTATGCCCACCGTGGGTGAGTGCCCCTCATCCGAACCCCCTGACCTCATGCATTGCCTCTGACCGTCTCAGTGTTGAGCTCGTCGTGGCATACATGGGAGCCCTGAAAGCTGGTGCAACTGTCAGTGTCCTGGACCCGCAGTACCCTCCTGATCGCCAGAAGGTTCTTCTAGAGGTGGCCAACCCGCGTCTTCTCGTCCACATCCAGCGAGCCACCGAAGAGGCCGGCAAGCTGGCCGACACGGTCGTCGAGTTTGTAGAGAAGCATCTCAACCTCAAGGCTGAGGTCCCGGCTCTCAAGTTGCTGGATGATGGCTCACTTTCTGGAGGCCTTATCAACGATCAAGATTGTCTCAAGGAGTCGGAGTCACTCAAGGCAACTCTGCCCGATGTCCTCATTGGACCAGACTCCATTCCCACCCTCAGCTTCACGAGCGGCTCAGAGGGAAAGCCCAAGGGTGTCCAAGGCCGCCACTACTCTCTCACATACTACACTCCCTGGATGGCTCAACGATTTGGTCTGTCCAAGGATGACAGGTTCACCATGCTGTCAGGCATCGCACATGACCCCATTCAACGTGACATTTTTACGCCCCTGTTCCTAGGAGCCCGCATCATGGTTCCCCCTCGCGACAGCATCGCCCACGAACTCCTGGCTGAGTGGATGAAGGACAACCAGATTACCGTCACCCATCTGACGCCTGCCATGGGTCAGATTCTTGTCGGTGGTGCTACGACGCAATTCCCCACTCTCCACCATGCCTTCTTCGTTGGCGATCTTTTGACCAAGAAGGACAGCCGAAGGCTACAAGAGCTTGCGCCCAACGCTTTCATCACAAACATGTACGGCACGACCGAGACTCAGGTATGCCTCCGTTCCTCTAGACAGCCACATTTCCGGCCACTGACGTACCTAGCGAGCTGTTTCCTACTTTGAGATCCCTAGCAAGGCCAGCCAGGAAAACGCTCTGGACGAACTTCCCGACGTCATTCCCGTCGGACAGGGCATGCTCGACGTTCAGCTTCTCGTCGTTGACCGTGACAACTCCAACCGCGTATGTGACGTCGGCGAGCAAGGCGAGCTGTTCCTCCGTGCTGCTGGCATGGCAGAGGGCTATCTCGGCACGGACGAGCTGTCGAATAAGCTCAATGCTACCAAGTTCCTGAACAACTGGTTCGTCGACAACCAGAAATGGGTCGACGAGTACAAACAAGCCGCGGCTGCCGACCCCAAGCCCTGGATGGAGCTTTACAAGGGCCCCCGTGATCGCATCTACAGAACTGGTGATCTGGGCCGCTTCCGCCCAGACGGTACTGTTGAGTGCACTGGTCGGGTCGATAACCAAGTCAAGATTCGAGGCTTCCGCATCGAGCTCGGTGAAATTGATGCTCATCTTTCACACCATCCGTTTGTGCGCGAAAATGTCACCCTCGTCAGGAGAGACGAGGGCGAGGAACCGACGCTGGTCAGCTATATCGTCCCTGAAGCCAAACGTTGGTTCCAGCACATCACCGGCGACGGCGCGGCGGGCGAAGGTGCCGATGAGTCGATGGCTGCGATGTTGAAAAGATTCAAGTCGCTGTCGGAGGACTGCAAGGCTTTCCTGAAGACCAAGGTCGCATCCTATGCCGTTCCCACCATGTTCATTCCGCTCGTTCGAATGCCCTTGAGTAAGTTTTACATTTCCTGCTAACACGTCATACTTTGCTGACCATCCACAAGATCCCAATGGCAAGATCGACAAGCCCGCCCTGCCTTTCCCCACCGCTGGAGACCTCGCTCACCTCAACAGGAGAGGCTCGAGAACTTCCGCGTTGGCCTCTCTGAGTGACACCCAGAAGAAGGTCGCTGCGGTCTGGGCTCAGGTCCTCCCCAACAGGACTGCGCGCATGTTCGTGCCGGAGTCCAACTTTTTCGAGGAGGGTGGCCACTCCATTTTGGCCCAGCAAATGCTTTTCAACGTCCGTAAGGAGTGGAAGGATATCGATGTGCCAATGAGCGCTATCTTCCAGTCACAGACTTTGGCTGCCTTTGCTGCCGAGATTGATCGTGCTCAAGATCCCACTGGTCTGCGTCTCGACGTTGAGGATTTGACCAACACGAGCTATGTTCAAGACGAGGCGTACGCTGCAGACGCCACCGAACTGGTGCAGCAGCTCCCTCAGTCGATTCCCAGCGCTGGCTCCATCGACCCCAAGAACTTCACTGCGTTCATGACGGGTGCTACTGGTTTCCTTGGCTCATACATCCTTCGCGAGCTCCTGCAGAAGGGCGCTCGCGTCATCGCTCACGTGCGGTCTTCCGATGCCGCCGCTGGCCTGGCTCGTATCGAGTCCTCCACCAAAGCTTATGGCCTCTGGTCTGAGGATTGGAGGTCGCGTCTGTCGGCCGTGACTGGCGATATTTCTAAGCCCCAGCTTGGTCTGTCCCGCGTTGACTGGGCTAAGGTGGCCAGCGAGGCCGACGTCATCATTCACAACGGCGCGCAAGTCAACTGGATGCTTCCATACTCTAGTCTGCGCAAGGCAAACGTGATCAGCACCATGGACTGCATCGCGCTGTGCGCTGACTCAAAGCCCAAGCAACTGGCTTTCGTCAGCTCCACCTCGACCATTGACACTGACCACTATGTCAACCTCTCGAAGGAGAGCGTTGCTGCTGGCGGCAAGGGCCCACCCGAGACGGATGACCTTGACGGCAGCCGTAAGGGCCTAGGCACTGGTTACGGCCAGTCCAAGTGGGCAAGCGAGTACGTCCTTCGTGATGCCGGCCGCCGCGGTCTTACCGGTGCCATTATTCGTCCTGGCTACATCATGGGTGATCCCAAGTCTGGCATCAGCATCACTGATGACTTCCTTGTCCGTCTTTGGAAGGGCTGCCTCCAGGTCGGCGCCCGTCCTGATATCAACAACACAGTCAATCAGGTTCCTGTTACGCAAGTTGGCCGCATTGTCGTCGCCGCGGCTCTTCACCCTCCTACGACGCCACTCGGTGTCGTCCAGATCACGAGCCACCCGCGGCTCACGCAAAACGAGTGGGTCGGCACCCTTGAGACGTACGGCTACAACATCCCCAAGGTACCCTATCCTGAGTGGAGCGACAAGTTGCGTGCCTACGTCGGCGATGACACCAAGGAAGAGCACGCCCTGTTGCCTCTATTCCACCTCGTAACGGGCAATCTACCTGCCGACTCGGTCGCGCCTGAGCTGGACGACAGCAACGCGGCCGCCGTGCTCAAGGCATCGGGTGCCACAGAGGAGGACCCTCTCGCTGCCGGTGCTGTGACCACGGATGCCATTGGCATGTACCTGGCCTATCTTGTCGCGATCGGATTCTTGCCTCCCCCGCCCACGGCCGGACAACGTGCATTGCCCAAGTGTGAGATCGCCGCCGAGAGGCTGGCGGCGCTGACCGGAAGCGGTCGTGGTGTCAAGGCCACGTAGTTTGGTTTTGAGATTCTAGAGAAAAGGATTTGGTGAAAAATTAAAAGCGGTGGTAGACTACTAGATGACTTAGCAGACGATGTACGACACAATGAGAAGCTCAACGTTCAAACGAAAAATCTGCACTATTGTACAAGGTGGCACATTGCTTCCAACAAGGATCACTTTTAATGATCGCTTAGGCCACTACGATATTCTTTGTAATTTTGAGTTTTCAAAAGTATGTAGCGCGATGCGAGATGCCATTTGAATTCACGGGCTTGCAGCGGACTCAGGACGACCGCAGCTTCAGGAGATTAACGACAGCAACGAATCAGTAGGCAACAGCTCCTTCCCTGCACGAAACTTCTGCTCCTCTTTATCTGGTCAGCACTTTCACGATCTTCTTGTGTTCAACTCCAACAAGGATTGTCCCCTTTCCCTGAAAACCTACAATACTAAGACAAGTACCAGGCTTCGTCTTCGTTATCATTCACCACCCTACCCGTGTCCTTCTGATTCAAGCGCACTGCAAGACTGCAGATCAGGAGTTGACTCACTCCACCACCTGCGATTGTCTTCGTCACTCTGAGCTAACGTTCAACAACACCATGGACGTCCTTGCCAGCAGCATCATCTACCCGAAGGCTACCAAGTTCCGTGCCGATTCCAAGCCAGCGAAAGTGGCCAAAAAGGCGAAGAAACCCAAGACGCCCAAGGTGAAGAAGGAAACGTCCCGCAAGCGTGGCACGTCGAAGAAGAAAGTCCCCGAAGAGGAACCCAAGGTAGGCTCCCCCTTGCCGCCACCACGTCTTCGTGAGTTGGGAATGAATCTAAAGCTCACGAATCAGTTCGAGAACCCCAACGCTGGCACAGTCGTCTATGAACTTGCAAAGAACGCCATGGGGCCCCCTTCCCCGCCTCACGACGAAGACATACCCATCGAAGACCTCCTGCCGCCAGACGAGGTGCGCATCCGCGCACCCCACGACGCCGCCGTCTCGGTCCTCGACACGCCCCTTATCAATGCCAGCGTCAGCAAGGGGGTCTTCACCTTCCGCGTCAAGAAAGGCAAGGCAGGTGGCGCGGGGCACAACGAGTTCATCGAGCGACTGGTGCGCACCAAGACGGAAGGGGAGTTTCACGCGGCCCTGTCGGACAGTGTCCAGGGAGCCGCCAGGGTGTGCAAGGCTGACAGGGACGCTGCGAAGGCGGCTCCGAGGCTTGCGAAGCAGAAGCGGAAAATTGAGAGGGCTAGAATGGCGTTGGAGAGGCTTGCGGAGCTAAACATGGACCAAACTGAGCTGAGGATCAAAAAAGAGGAAGAGGGATACCAGGGCGGTGACGAGGCTGAAATGCGATTCTGTGAGGATGCTGGGGTTGGGAAGGAGCTCGAGGTCGTTGAGTAAGCCTTGGGGGTGTCACGAGGAGTTTGGATCATCGAGATAAGACTGAATCTGTTCCTGAAGGCCTACAAAATTCAGTCTGGTTGGCACTCGCAGCGCTCCATCACTTTGGTCGGTGAGATCCTTCAAAGGTAGGCCAGAAGCTTGGTTTCAGTCAAAATTTATATGGCGTCGTTTTGATAGAGAGGTGGGTTTCCGTACCAAATCTGACAGGACTGCTGACGAATGTCAGTTCCCCATGTGCCGTCATCTTGTAATTGGTGTCATTCTCACTGGTTAAATGTTCACGAGGAAACAAAGGCGGTATTTTACGACCATTTCGACCCAACGTGGAATTTTTATCATGTCGCTCAGTTAGGCGTGGCAGCTTGAGCGATCGCCGCAACGTTGCTGCCTCGGAGGCTGAGTCTCGGTGATGGTGTGGAGAGGTATTGCCCTAATGACCTGACAGCCTTACTGAAGACGATAACTAAACAAAACCTATGCGATTGTAATATATGTATGAAGGCGGCAACCATGAACAGCCAAGTGGGCTTGCCAGTGGAAAAAATAAGGTGTCTCGTCGCTAGCCTCGTTTTGCTATCTCTCACGATTTCGGAGCCTATGCTGCTACAATGCCCTCTGATTAGTCCCTGGCCCGGCTGTCAGCATGTCAAGTGATAGCTAGTAGCTCGCTATGAGGCTTGATATCGTTGTCTTGTGTCACATACAAGCATTGAAGCCCAATCGTGTTCAATTTCCATTCGCCATGGCAGGTGTGCAACTTTGCCCAAAAAGTGACAGAACCCATGAAGCTGATTCAGTCACAAATCAGAACATATGCTTTCGTCATCATCACTTAGCCTGGTCATTAAGAAGCACTTTGAAGTAACTCAGGGTTCTATTTGGGCAGAACAGGAGCTAAGGCTGTTTTTGTCAGACAGGGTAATGGGAACAACCGTGGCAGGAATCTTGGGTACCTCCCTCGGACAACAAGGCGCAGCATTGTGAGTTTGCAGCATCATTATCCGGGATTCGAGGGCTTGCAAATTGTCAGAGGCATGGTAAAAGAACCTTTGCTACGACTCTGACGTATTCTGTCTCTTTTCCACTCAGTGGCATGGACACTATGTGTTGTCCAAACATGTGGTTTCGCAGACCAGCATGTCTATGCAACCAGAACGAAATAGCGCCAGTGCGACCTCAACTGACGATGTCGCAAATCTGCAATGGTCTGACACGTCACTCGCGCGCATATCACGTCTAATGAGAACGGCAACATCGGCCAATTAGCAGGTCTTATTGTGCAACCAGCCTTTGAGATGGGTGGGTTGCATGAAGCAGGCTGGGCTCTCTCTGCCAAGTCATCGTCGTCTCTCAACCAGCCATGTCTGAAACCGTGCCGCGATTCGTTGATATATTTCCAACACGTGAAAATTGCTGTTTTGCACTTCGGAGCTAGTTCTTTCTTCGTCATATGACAGGATGATACTCTAAGTGCTGGTCGTGCTGGCTACAATTTGATGATGCCCATTCTCCGACAAAGCTCCTAGGGGAAGAATTCGGGATATAAATAAGAGGCACAGCCAGCGAGATTCTCGGGACAAAAATCCTCAAAGCAGTCTCTTCATCCACATCGGCTGACCATCAAGCTTCAAAGCGATCATCCCAGAAACTATCTCCTCACCACGCCCCTACGCCTGCCAAAATGGGTTCCATGGTACGTCTGTGACCCACCCCCGGGCGGACGCATGCGCAAAGAGAGAATGGCAGTGCTGACTGACGCCTGAGTTCATCAGTTCTCAGAGGGCCAGCTTGTCCGCTACTCCAGCGTACAAGAGGTCTGCATCGTCGTGACAATCTACCAGGAAACTCGCCAAATTGTCATCAGAACCCAGGAAAGTGGCAGACAGATGGAGGTCAGCGAGGACCAGCTGACCCCTGCCTGGTGACAGCGTCGCACGGGCATTGAGTTCGGCAGGGACTTGATGGAACCGGTTGTTCTTCAGCAGGAAGGATTTTGGGGCAGAAGATATGTGGTCTAGTCCAGTGCGTCTAAGGCTATTAGATGAGATTCAACATTCGTTTCGCGTACTGCCGCCCCGAAATATCGGGGAGCTTATGCAAAGTACGCAAGGCACCCAGATCAATCAAGTAAGCGTCAAGATCACGTAGAATCACCCACACGTGGCCGCGTGTGGTTGTCTTGTAGCGCTCCCGTGTTAGATTGATTTACCGGCAAACAATTGATTTCTCTTCGCTACCTCTCCCGTGTGGCCATAGATCAAATTCCCTAACGCCATGCCCAGATGTAACCGCGCGCCTTTTCGGCACTGAAACCAACCTTGCCTACCAAGCCATGTGTTATTATCCCCCGCTCGTATACCATGTGTCGTCAAACGTCCCATTACCTGCCAAACATCCGTCTCCATACTCATCGCCTTACAGTGTCAATCCCGTCAAAACAGGACCAAGAGTTTCCGGGGCCAGGCGGACTCCCTCAAGCTCCTGATCCAGTACCTCTCGCACCTTGCCCAGCTTGACCGGCTTCGTCAAAAACATATCCGAGCCGCTCGCAACAGCTTCCTTGCGATCTGACGCGCTGCTCAATCCCGTGAGGACGACAATTTTGCACCTTATTGCACCGGCCCTGCCCTCGAGGCGGCGTATTTCCCTCGTCGCCTCAAAGCCGTTCATGACGGGCATGGATATATCCATGAAGACGAGGTCAAACAACCGTCCTTCGCCGAGTGACTTTTCGTATAGCTCCACAGCCTCGAGCCCGTTGCTGGCCGTCGCAAAGGTGTGGTTCATTTTGCGTATGACTGTTGTGAGGAGCTTAATGTTGATGGGGTTGTCGTCGACGAGAAGTAGGTGTAGCGACTTTTGCTTCGTTCCACTGGTCACTGGACTTGCTGCATCGAGTGTGGTGCCATTTGCGGGGGGCGCATCGTGCTGGTCGGCCGCCTGCAGGATAGCAATGTCTTTCGGGAGGGGCTGGGTCTCTTCAGCAGAAAGGGGAGGAGCGTGCAGCTCAGAAGCGCGTGGGATGGCTTCTGGTAATGACAGCGCAGAAGTGCACTCCGATATGAGGCTCTTGGGAGCTACTGTGAGCGCCGCTTGAATCGCTGATGCCAGCTTTCTCGGGCCCAGTGGGAGGTGCAAATGGGCGCAGCTCTGCTTCTTTTCAACATATGTCTTCAGGCACGAGGTCGGCCCCGCTCCCGGGCAAAGAAGAGTTAAAGGAGTAGCCTTGGAATTTGTCGCTGATACGAACGCAGAAAGGCTTCTGGGCGCGCCCGTCGTGTCATCGTCCAAAAAGTACACGTCTGCATCGGGGACCGGGTGATCAGCCGTCGCAAGAATAACATTCATTCCCAAGTTGCCGCCGGCGCTACTTCGAAGGGCTCGTTCGACAGCAGCCGATCGCTGTCGCGTCTCGGCGGTGATCCCAGAAGTCGAATGCAGCACGGATGCAAACGATTCTGGTGTGATGAGACAGATTGTCTGCCCAGCAAGCTGATGGTATTTGTTGTTGCCGTGTAGGGCTTGGATGTCGTGTGTTGCGAGTAAAGATACCGGAGTGGA